GTACACTCGGTTCTGTTACCATGGTGACAAACCTTCAGTACACTCGGGTTCTGTTACCATGGTGACAAACCTTCAGTACACTCGGTTCTGTTACCATGGTGACAAACCTTCAGTACACTCGGTTCTGTTACCATGGTGACAAACCTTCAGTACACTCGGTTCTGTTACCATGGTGACAAACCTTCAGTACACTCGGGTTCTGTTACCATGGTGACAAACCTTCAGTACACTCGGGTTCTGTTACCATGTTTTTTTTTAACTAACTTTGAAAAAAGTGGATGAGGATCCAATAAAAAGACTTCACTCGTTCATTTTGAGCAGCATCACCTGCTCTGGTTTTGAAGTTTTATTGGACGTTTTTCATCAAACTAAATTTTAATATTTAAATACTCTCACTTTGGCTGGACTTTGGTACAAAATAAACAGAATCAAAATGAGAAGATCATGAAACTGTAGGCTGATAAACCGATTGATTTGAAAATGTTTACAAATTAGAGATTTTCTTTAGACAAAACCAAACCTGCGTCCGCTGATCATGAAGGTTTATTTATTAGGTTTTACAGCTTTTAGATGGCTTAAATCTTAATCTGTGGTGTCAGTTTGGTTTTATGTTTTGACGCATAAAGGTGCATAATGTGGATGATTTGACAAGGTTAGAAGGAAGGAAGTTTCTTTCGGCTGCTCTCTTCTGCAGGGGTCACCACAGCGAGCAAACTGTGGCTCAGTGGTTAACACTGCTGACTCACTGCAAGAAGGTCCAGGGTTCAATCCCCGGTTGGACCTGAGGTCTTTCTGTGTGGAGTTTGCATGTTCTTCTCGTGCTTGCGTGGGTTTTCTCCGGGTACTCCGGTTTCCTCCCACAGATCAAAAACATGCATGATAGACTGCTTCAGGACTCTCTTACAAAAGAGATCTGTGGGATTTGCCTGGTTAAATAAAGGTTAATAAAATAAATAATCGCATGAAAGATTTGGCGATTTGTTTGACGCTGCATGCACTTCCTGACGTAACCTGGGATCAAACCTGCGTCCTCAGGATTACAAGACTACGGCGCTGACCACCAAGCTACCACAGCCTAATGAGGTGACCAGACTATTTTTATAATTATTCTATTATTAGGAGATTAGAAAGCCTCAGTCACTGTCGAGGATTTTAAATTTAGCCGTTGCTTATAAACCCTGAATACAACCTGTGGGTAACGTTACTTTAAGCTGCCGGCATCGATTCTGACAAACAAATAAAATGTGTTTCAGTGGTCTGGTCCGTTGTGCTGACTCAGCAGCGGTGGCTCGGTCAGCGTGAACCCGGACGGTTTCCCTCTGTCCAACAGTGACCTCAGAGGCTGATTAATGTCTCAAACCGTCCAGCGGGAGCTCTGTGGACCAGCTGGTTCCTAATCTGACAACACTCCCCTCCTCCTATGTTCCACTCGACCTCAGTCACATCCAACCTGATCCAAGTTCAGGTTCTGCTGAGAGAACCAGGGCCGGATGGACAAAATGTCATGTCGGGGCAGCGGCCCTGATACCGACCCAGTTATCAGTCCAAATCTTGTCACGTCTCAACAGTTTGCAGCATCATCTGAATAAACTGGACCAGACGAGGACGAACAGTTTTAGGATCTGAGTCAAAAGTCCATCAAAGACTTGAACCAGGACCTGAGAGATCCATCCTGGCTCAGCTGATCATCGACTGGATGCTAACTTCACTTTCTTAGAGCTAAAATTCAGTTTTCTGCCAAACCGTATGAAACAATGTCCAGCAAACTAAAAACTCAGCCGTCGTTTGGAGAAACTCCTCGACCTCGCCACAACAATCAGGGGATGGTTGAGTCTTAGGGGAACCCCAGAAACCGATCCATGACCAGAGCGTTGCTTCTAACGTTGGAAAGACCTTTACTGGTTCGTATGCAGGTTTTTAAAGTCGGTTTAGTTTGAATTTTCTGTACAAAACAAAAACTCTGGGTCCAAATTTTGTGTAAAAGTTTCCGTAGGGCCAGTCTGATCAACCTCTGTTCAAGAAGTTTGTCCTTCTTAGGACGGAGATCCACATCCTCGTGAAACCAGAACCAGATTTAAATGTTCCTTTTGGGTCCACGCGCAGTCAGCTCATCCATTCAACACATTTATTTCATTATTTACCGTTTTATTATGGTTCAAACTCATCAGGTTGTTTATTCTTTGGTTTTTGTTTTGCCTCGTTTGTATTCTATCCAAGTTCAGGAGCCTTTTTTAATCTGGATGAGGTCAAAGGTCAGAGTTTAAAACATTCCTCTGAAAATGTTCATGTACAAGATCTGAAACTAAGAAAAAGTTGTTGTGTTAAGGACCAGGACCTTATTTGTCCTCAAGCTGCCAGACTCTCATGATGGACACAATGTAAGAAACTCACAGCTAGTGTGGTCTCTGCATCTTCTCCAGAACACCAACGGACCCCCAGACCTGATGCTGGACCCGCGGACAGTGTACGTTTGTTTGGATGAGGTGGTCTACAAGCGTCCGGCGGGGACCCAGCAGACACCGCTGCTGCAGGGACAACTGAAGAAGGTGGACAACAACCTGATGGAGGCCCAGAGGTTCTCCTCATTACCACGAAGACCAGCGGTCAACATGGAGTTCAAAGACGTCTCGTACTCGGTCAGAGAGGGACCCTGGTGGAGGAAGAAAGGTAAGGTAGCACCCCCGAGGGTTCGACCTGGCTGCAGGGAGACACGTTCAGCCTTTAGCAGGAAATCACCTGACACATAAAGTCCAACGGTTTCAGCCAGAACGTTCTGGGCTTAAAGAGCAGAGCCAAAAGAACCGGTCCAGAAGTCCAGAGTCAGGGCGAGTTTGGTGTGTTAGGGTACTGGTCCCAGTAGAACCAGTATAAGAGTCAAGGGTCGGTGTGAATCTGGTCTTACTGGGTGTTGAAGGAGTCCTCCAGATGTTCTTACTCTGATAGACTTTGGTATCTAGATCCACCATCATGGAACCACTGATAAGAACAGTCTGGACTGTAGAGCCAGAACCAGACCGAGTTCCTGAGAGGAACACATCTGTCAGGCTGTTTTCATTCTGCTGAGGTTCTGATGGACTGGACCGAGCCTGGATTAGAACAGGAGTGATGAGGGGGATCCATCGGTTCTTCCTGGTTTGTTCTTGTTTCAGTCTGACTCTGTTTGTGTGTTCCTGCTGGATTATCGGCCTGTAATCTGTTAATCTGACTCTGTTTCCTGCTGGAAATAGCTGCAGCTCAGATTAAAAAAGCTGTTTCAGCTGAAACAAATTTAACTGAAAACAACAACAACAACAACAACAACAACAACAACAACAAAACAATAAAAACAAACCGATAGTCTGCATCTGTCTGTCTGTCTGCCTGCAGCTGTCTGTCTGCAGCTGTGTGTCTACAGCTGTCTGTCTGCAGCTGTCTGTCTACAGCTGTTTGTCTACAGCTGTCTGTCTGCAGCTGTCTGTCTGCAGCTGTTTGTCTGTCTACAGCTGTCTGTCTATCTACAGCTGTCTGTCTGCAGCTGTGTGTCTACAGCTGTGTGTCTACAGCTGTGTGTCTACATCTGTCTGTCTGCAGCTGTGTGTCTACAGCTGTCTGTCTGTCT